TTTGCCCAAGATTCCGCAAAATCCGTGTTGGCTCGCGGATCTTTGTTCTCCCGGTCTCCTTTATTTGCCCGCCAGCTGTTTCTAGCACCTCTCTAGGATCAGGAATTGGTCTGATTCCCAGTGCAACTGTCGCGCGCGGTCTCCGTATTACACAGATGAAATTCTGAAAAAAAAATTTTTTCAAATAAAAATATCATTGGTTATTATGATCGCGCACGCGCGTGCTCTCTCGTGAACGAACGCATCGTGTAAGATTCGCCAGAGTAAGTACGCGTTTAAGACTCGAGCCATCTGTCGCCATTCTCCCAGATCTTTCCTCAGCTGCTCTGAGAGTGTTCTACAGACAAGAAGAGCCTAATGAGGTCGAGACATTATGAGCCTCGATCTGTTGGCTAGCTCGCAAGCCGATTATTATATCGCTGTTCCGCTCAGCTTCGATACGATACGTCATGCTCGCATTGATCCGTTGACGGCAATTTGCTGCGGATGGCTTTTACGATCGTCGCGAGGATTATATCGCGCCGTATATTAATACTGACGAATTTACGATAGCCAGTGACTGATAATGCGTGCTTCCCGGGACAATATCTTTAGTGAAGGGAACACGCAAACGCGCGCGTATCCCCAGGGTGCGTATTCGAATTGCATGCGCCATCTTGCATACACAGATCTGAAATTCTCTAAGCGTAATAATGGCCTCTCCAGATTATCTCATTCATATTTTACATCGAATTTATTGTCGAATTTATTTTTTTATTGTCGTATTAAACATTCACGTATTTATCCACTAGCCGATGGAAAATATTCTCTTAGTGGACAATATTTTCTCATACCGCAAAACGCGCTTTGCTTTGTATAAATTCCTAAGAGTGAAATTTCACTCGTACAGAATGAACTTTTTGTGCTCTGTATCATCAAGTGAATATTTTCGCTTGAAATTGAAGAGTCAATGCGATGTGCTCCATCGTCACTGTAATTCCCTGTAATCGACTGAAACGTTCGCTTATACAGAGACAGAGTTCAAGCCCTGAGCTCGAGTGAAACGTTCACTTCTGCGGTTTTGCGCGGAAAAATACTGTCACCTTTCACTCGTTTCAGTCTAAGATTTCAGTCCAAAAAATCTGGAGAACAATTTTCGAAAAATCGACCAATCGACTCTTTTTCTCTGGGATCGGAGACGTTACTTCCTTAGTCTAATCTAGTGTTGTGTTTATGTAGTATCGTGCGTAGAAAAGTTGGCGGTGCGCGCACTTCATTCCGCGCAAATTTACTTCGCGTACGGCCGCTCGCGCGCTCTCGACGAACGGCCGCTTTTACTGTCGGTTTTACGAGCGCGGGTGTTTTCAAAACATCGTCCTCGTAAAATCAGCTGCTGCAGTATCTCCAACGTGCTCTCTCTCGGCCGTCACGTTTTTTTCCTATTTTTTTTTCTTCCGCACCCGCGGATCTTTAATGCTTGTCGTAGTGACCATTCGGGCCGGAACCGCATGGAGATAAAACAGCCGTCCCTCGCCTTATCTGCCACGCCGAAGTGGGAAATGTTGTTCCCAGCAATATCGTTTAACCTTCCCAATGGCACCAATGGCTTCCCAACCGCATTGCCGAAAAATCTCGTACTTTTCGGCGCATCAATCTTTATCCCGGCCGCGTTTCTGTTCTAATCGGAGCGAGGGCGGAATTATGCTCGTCGAAGCAATTTTTCAAGCGAACCCATTTGCGACAAAGTAACCGGAATATTTTGAACAAAGCCCTCAAAAGTGAACGCGCGCCTGAAATTCGTCTTTAACGAGGGCGATGTAGTTGCGGTAAAGCTAACCTTTTATCCCGCGAGAATAAAACCACCCCTGCGTCCCCGGGCCGATAACTATTAAGTTATTTCTTGGAATTGATCATGGATCAAACAGACGTGCGTAACATTGACACAAACGATATACGCCTTTGCTGTCTTCCTGCTGTCTTCCTGCGTTAACAATACCGAAAACAAACGGGGGTCTGCCGTTGATTGGCAGTCGAGGTCTCTCTTAATTGAATGAGCGTAGGCTTTTGTCTGCGGCGCTTTTTGAACAAAACGTAAAAACCCGCAAATAACTGTCGGGGAAAAATGGAAAGCGGCTTTGAAGTTGCGAAATAATTATTGTATGAAATTACATCGTCAAATTGTCGTCCTCAGAAATTCTACGGACGTGCGTCCCCTTCCAGCTCGCAAACGCGTTTAGGAGTTTGTGAGTCGCTCGCGCGTGCTCTCGAGAGCGACGTGCGACGATTTCGCTCGCATTTCAAGCGGACTTCAAAAGTCAGCTCTATGCGTGACCCGCCGGCATGCGTGATTCCATATACAGACGCGCACACACATACAGGGAGACACAGAGAAACCGCGAGAGGGAGAAAGAACGCTGGCGGATCGATAGGACAGCAGCTTGCCGTGACGTTGCTGTGAAGAAACCACACGTATCGGCCGCTTTAAGCGTTAACAATACGCGAGGTGCAAGCTGGAAAATTAACGGCACGACTGGGGCTTTCCGGGGAATCGGAGCGGTTATCTGGAATGTCTTACTTAATTTAGTTACCGGGCCTGGACGTCTGATTTGGACAATTAGATTACTAAAACTATAGTGAACGTACGGGAAAGACGCGCTTATGCAAAGGAAATAATTGCGTTCCGCTGAGAGTGCATTAAGCAATTTTCAAACATTACCATAATTTCACGATGTTAAACGACGGGAACGCTAAACGCCCCCATTTTTCTGCACGTCTCGCAAAATGTGCGGCATGCGTATTTTAGCCTTGCCGAATGTGTGTCTGTGTGTGCGTGAGAGGGGGTAAGGGGTACGTCTATATTTAGGAGGAAAACATCGAAAATGTGGCACCATCCTTGACCGTGACATCGATCGACGTACGATCGATTTGATCACGGCGAAAAACAAGCGTTCTATTGTGGTACTACACCGCGAGTCAAAGTTAAACGATGGTTTGTGTAATTCGATAGGACACGTGGATCTTATCAAAGATGTTGACGCTGCGCGCGACGGATGACGTCCACCATAGAATATCCAGGTGGCAATTTTGGCACAGGTCCGCGCATATTTTCGCACACACTTTCCTTTCGTTGATGCCTTTTGAATCTCGTCCAAAGTACCGAGTCGGGGCACACATCTGCGCTGATTAGTCCGCCGATCTCGTTAACGTCTCGTATGCGAGACTATTTGCCCTCCGATCGGGCCGCGATCTCGAGATTGCAGCTGAACTCATCGCGGAAGCTGACGTTTCTTATCTGGCCAAATGATGCGCTGGATTTTTGCTCAACTGTCGTGACCACGACGGCAATTAGCGAATTCCCGAGCCTGCTGTTCACGGAAGCGCTGACGGTGAAAGATACATGGAGCAGATTAAGTTGCATCCTTGATGATAATTTTGCCAATTTAATTTCGCGACAGAGGAAACCCGGCGGTTGACGCCCGGTATCGCGCGCTTGCACTTCTCGTTCCTATGAAAAGTCGAAGATAAAACGTATGATTTTTTTTATGACTCCATCCGAGAACGCGTTCGTAAACCGCGATAAACTCCGCGTTACATTCGCGTCGGCGCGACATTTAATGCAACAAGATTGCAACGGTTGACCGTCTATCGGCCAACTTAACGCCTTTATGTCACTCCAGTAACAATCTGAACTTTACGACGATATTACCGTTACCACGGGACGGGACAAACTATTTGGGCGCGATCCAGAGACTTTATAGGAACTTTCGCAATTTTACTATCGGCTCTCTTTTATCTACCGGGGTGTCTATCTGCAAGTGAAATATCGTCTGCGACGCGGCGGCGACGGTGGCTTGCGCGCGCCGTCAGTGTCTAAGAGACATCCAGTAAACGTCAATCTGGAATATTTATCGCGACGGCTAGTCGCCGCGACCCACCTCGGCGATTTCATGCGCGCGAATAGGTTGCGCCGCTTTGTACGTGCCACGGCATATATTTCCCGCATAGTTTGTGCTCTCGATTCACGTCTCAATATTTCCAAATTTTCCTATCGCAGCTCCCCGTGCTATCCGCCAGTCCTTGACACGCATCTGAGTATTCTACCGACGTTCGCGATGATCTCGCGAAGTGCCGTCGGGAACATGAGTTATCGGGTGCATGGGGAAGTCGCTCCAGGTGCTGCACGTATTTTACGAGATATCAACTTACCCTTCGAACGAGCGGCCTTAGATACACTCGTATATCAGTTCTTACACGCCAGCAATTCATCTGTCGGAATGTTTCGAGAACGATATCTCACTCTTTCTTTTGGCGCTCGTTATATTAAAAGTTTGCAAAAGTCGAATCGCATATAGGTTTATTTGTTCGAAAGATGAATTGTTTTACAGGCGCGGATTAAGGTAATGGAAAGGTGATGAGAAGGGGTGAATGAATATGGCTGGAGGCTTACTTCTTTTATTAAAATATAGTTAAAAGCATATTTATTTAATTAGAAATATGGCTGCGAAATGAATTCGCCGACAAAAGCGGTCAAATTTTTACGAACCCGTGTATACCAAAAAAGAGAACACGATAGTTAACACGTTCGGTTCATTTCGGGGATTTTTTCCACAGATCACATTATATTTGTTTTTATGTAATTGTATAAAATAGGTTTGGAGTTTGTTTATATGCGGATATATATAAAAAAATATCGTTGTCAATATGTTGAATGAAATTGAAGAGCCAAGAGCCAAGATGAACTTGAAGTCAGAAACTGGTATGTTACACACGTGTGACGTTAATATTGAGCTTTTCACCGAATGTTACGGCACCGCGAATCTTCGAGGTCGACGTATACACCAGGCCTTGCGTTGCACACGTATTGCTTTACAAGCAAATTAAACTTTACGCAGCGGGTCGTCGCTCGAACGCCCGTATACATACATTTATGATGAGGAAGCACGCCGTCGACGATGGGCGTGCGTCAGGCTTGACGCGGCTTGGGATCGAGGACTATCTGACTTGCTAATTTCCTGTTTCAGGAACCAAGTTCCTCTGCAGCGAGGTGATAGCGCTAATAAGGAGCGAGGTGGACGACATTTGCCTGCAAATCATAAACTTCGAGGACCTCAGCTCGCAACCGCCCCCGCAGCCCGCGATACCGCCGCCGAGTCAGGCCAACAACAGGCTCGCGACACGCTGTATGTTCCAATTTTATTCGTTCTACTTGTCGACTTTGTCTCGGTGCATGCGCGAGAGAGCGAGAGCGCGCGCCCGAATTTTCGCACGAAAGTACCGCCGCAAAATCCGCGCTGTTCCCGACATTTGCGAAGGCGCGCGCCCGTTGCGCGGCTTCCAGCCTTTTTCGTGTCACGAGGGACTTTCGGCTCGCTTGTCGCTCTCGCGCGCGCACACGCGTATCGAAACTCCAAAGCGGCGGAAACTTTATTTAACCCGAGCAAAAGGAAAGCGCGAAATTTTACGATCGATCGCCGCGACACGCGCGGTGTGTGTGTGTGTGTAGCGTGTAGCCCGCGAGATTGCAGACCGATCCCTCGCAGTTCGACTCCTCGATTCCGTCGCGCGATCAGATGAAACGATTACTTCGGCTGCAACATTTACACACGATATCCTGGCCAAGACATTTCGTGCCTCCTACACATATAACTTCCTGCGGCTTTTAAACGTCGCTATCATTATTTCCTGCCCGCTGCACCGTCCGTTATAAGACATCACCGCTGACATTCGGGGCCGCCTCGTTCACAAGTGGGACGTGTGGCACACGTAGGCTACTCTCATTGTGACGATCATTATTACGAGCATAGATCCAGGTCAGGTGTATCTGCATAATGAGCCGCGTTACAATCCTGCGGAAATTCGGACGGGTTCTTTCGTGTGCGCAATTACATCGCGTATACATCCGCGCTGTCATTCTGCCGCGTATGTGCGCACATATATGTCTGCCCTATCGGAATTCGGGACCTTTTCGCGAATATATACGTGCGAACTGTCCGCATCCATAAATCCGCCTCCGCTAATGCACATGTGACATTTCCGCGCGAATACGATATGTCTCCGTAATTACACTTCGCCCTCCTTGGTGCCGGTGCGGATACTTTGCAAGATATGCGGAAGTGTCTGCGCCTTCGTTCTTCCGCATAATGTCAGTCCCGTCTGTAGTCTTCTTGCGTTCATTGTAGGGAACAGAAATACAGAGGTGTATTAACTTGAGAACGAAGCATTGTGTGTTCTGATAACCATCAGAAATAGATTTTTATTCCAATTATGTCGTAATATATTTTTGTAATATATTCGTGTTCGGTGTGAAGTTAAACAAATGAATGAATTGATCACGCACAAAAGCAATTGTCGTTAACCATAAATTAACAAAGCACATTCGCGTTCCTTCCCTTCTCATTTTTCAATTTTGATACGGTGGCTCGACTCTTTCTCTCTCGCCTCTCTCTCAACGGTTTTCATACAAAAGCTGCCCAATTATTTATTGAAGCATTCCGTGGACGCGTTGAATGTTTCGTTATGAATTTCTCGCCATCTTCCCGAAACCAATTTAGAGCGTATACGCATATGTGCATGCATATGTGCGTACAGAGGACGGGACACGTGGTCGCGTTTTATATCTGGAGTGCTCGCGAAACTATTTTTAGAATGACGCTGCAGAGAGCGCTGGACGTGTGTGGCGCGCCTAACGGTTAACCCTGACCCGGTAATAAATGTTATGCCCTCGAATAGGTAGCTATAGGCACCTTACCTCCTGGTTGATAATCCGCCCCCTAAGCAGCTCAGCTGATGGTTAGAGACCCGTAACAGAAATCGATCGCGTAGCGGAAAGTCGCGTAGCGTAAGAGCGTTACCTCGAGGAAATGCCTCTTTCACACAGGCGTCACGCACGGGGAAATCGATGTGAACGCGATTACTTCTTTCCTTTATCCCCTTTCGGTTTTAAAGCGCGCATCGTGCTTTTATTTTTAACGAGAAGATCTTCGCCGTTGGAGAAATCGCGCAGTAATACGCGTACGATTTATTTTAAAAATGATACAAGTCAGCTTCAATGTATCATTAATATTTCAGATATCCAATGCATCGGCGCTTTATATTTCTTTTCCTCGATATTCCTATATATTTAGCGAGAAGATAGAGAATAATAGAATTTGAGAGAGAAGAGGCAGAGCGACTATTGGTGGAATATGACGTTCACATTTAATTTTAGATGCGAGGCACGACTAATATTCAATTGCGTACAATTGAACGATACGCTCGATGCTGCTTCAACTCGTTTGAGTCACCAATATAACTGAATGCGCAGGAATTCTGAAAGGTCGATATAATCCATAATCGATAGTTCGTACAGAGTTTGAAATTGTTCGTCGAAGTGCTTGGGCTATTCGTCTTTAGGTTCATCGGAATGTAATTAATAGGTGATATGTGGTGTAATCCATCATCCAAATGAATCTATTGCCCGATGTCGTGATTAGCTCAATTAATAATCATTAAATATTCATCGAGTGTGACTGCGTGTCGAAACACTTGACGTCTTGTTTGCATCGTAATTCACCAAGCCGAGACGTAAGTCCGTGGAAAATTTTTTAACGACATACTTCCAGATTGTTACCTGGAAAATTTTATTTTGAGTTTTATTTATTTTGATTCGTCCCGTGCTTCAATTCCCAGATTCCATATTTTCATCTATTTTCTGCTTGTGTGAACTATCCATTCTCTCTCTCTCTCTTTCTCTCTGTCTCTCTTTCTCCTCTCCCTTCTGTCTCTCCTTATTATTGAATCAGTATGAAGTCGACGTGGCTGATAAGTCAGATCGATGTTACACAGGGATACCATTCGGGGACGACTCGATCCATTCGCATCCTAATAATATATTATTCCGGTAGACGTCGAACCGCGGCGAACGGGTCTTCCCGTGTAATAACAATCGATATCAGCGTACACTCGAGAGGATTAGAGCCACCGTATCCAATCACTAGCACCACTCTTTGCCCATCTCCTTTCCATTGCTCTTTTCCTCCGACACCGGCGTTGACGATAAACGATAATGGTTGCAACTTTCTTTTTTCCTTCTTCCTCAAGCTGTGTTCGCGCTTAGGCGTGAATATCCTTTTAATTAGAATTCCTCTGTCGCGCAATGGCGGAATTTTAAAGCCACTTCCCTTTCACTGCCCCTTGCATTTACATACCGAAATTGAACGTAACGAGCAAACAGTTCGCGCATATTCTCTCTCTCTCTCTCTCTCTCTCTCTCTCTCTCTCTCTCTCTCTCTCTCTCTCTCCTTCTCTCTCTCT